GCTTCATTTGCCGAGATACCGGGCGCTCATATTATAAGGCAAGGTTATAAAACCATCTTTTAAGATCATTTTAGTGAAAGTTTCATCCTTCAAGGCGTACCATTCACTGCTCAAATACTAAACAACCTGCTTCCACTGCCGAGATACAGGGCGCTCATATTATAAGGTAAGGTTATAAAACCACCTTTTAAGATCATTTTAGTGAAAGTTTAATGTTCCTATCTCATATAATTTAAGAACAATGATGAATAAATCATTTTCGAGCAAAATTTAAATGAAGAAAGCAGTCTTCTGGGATTTGGCACCGTGTATATGTGGTGTTAGTCACCGCCGTGAAAGCCTCAAATCTTACAAAATTTAAATGGACGGCTGAATATATTACCGCCGGAGAGACGGCCGCGGAATTTAAATGACCGCGCGGAAGGGTTAAGAACCGAAGAAGCATAAGCCATGGTTTGAAGAAGGATGTTCAAAATTATTAGATCAAAGAAAGCAGACCAAATTGCAATGGTTACAGGATCCAAGCAAGTTAAATGGGGATAATGTGAACAATATAAGACGTGAAACCAGCAGGCATTTGAGGAACAAAAAGAGGGAATATCTGAAAGACATATTTGATGAGCTTGCAATGAACAGTAAGAACAAGAACATTAGAGATCTGTATAGAGGAATAAATGACTTTAAGAGGGGTTACCACCCTAGCAGTAGCTTAGTGAAGGATGAGAATGGTGATCTGCTTACAGATTCCCACAACATTTTGAATAGGTGGAGGAATCACTTCTCTCAGTTATTGAATGTACATAGGGTCAGTGATGTTAGGCAGACAGAAATCCATACAGCTGAGCCGTTAGGACCTGATCCTAGCCCTTTTGAAGTTGAAAGTGCTATTGCAAAATTGAAACTGTAAAAATTGACAGGTAGTGATCAGATTCTGGCAGAACTTATTCAAGCAGGAGGTGAAATATTACATTCTAAGATCCACAATCTAATTGCTTCTATTTGGCATAAGGAAGAATTGCCTGATCATTGGAAGGAGTCTACTGTTGTACCAGTTCACAAGAAGGGTGATAAAACTGACTGTAGTAATTATCACTGCTATCAACTTCATATAAAATTGTATCCAATATTCTTCCCTCAAGGTTAAGTCCATATATAGATGAAATTACTGGGGATCATCAGTGTGGGTTTCGATGTAACAGATCAACTACAGATCAGATCTTTTGCATTCATCAACAGAAGCAGAGGAACATCCACTGCTGGGAGCCACTACCTAGCAATGACCAGTGAAGACTATAATAGGCTCAGACTTAGCATGTGCTACAGTAATTTGTACAGTGTGCAGATTAATGACATTATTATAATTATTTGTAGTTACTATTTATGAGCATTCAATAAATCCAATTATGAATCCAAATCCTGTGTCTATTCACTAACATGTGACAACATCTTTCACAATTAACTGTTTTGTTAAAAAACACAGGTCCAACAATCTTTCTTGTACTTACAGCACACCAGACACCAACTTTCACTGCATGGAGCAAAAGTTCATAGGTTAGATGTGGATTCTGTGAACTCCAGTAGCGATTATTTTGTGTATTTATTTGTCCCTGTAAGTGAAACCATGCTTTATTCGAAAATAATGTCAACTGCAGATAAATTCCACCTGCAGAAACCAACTGCAAAAATGAACTCTGCCAGCTAGATCATGCAGCTGCAAGGCATGAATTACTGTTGTATTATAGGGTCTCAGCTTCAGTAACTCTGTCTCCCTTCTTGCACTTGACTCTGACACCCCAGTCATTTGAACCAGACATTTTAGTGATTTATAGGTGTATGTTCAAACCTGGATCCTGTATCATTTAACTTCTTCTCATAAAGCACTCAGCACTAACATTTTTGTCTCTTGTCTATTAACAGTCCTGTTGTTCTAAGTTTATTCATGAAAATGTGAACTGTTTGTTTGCTGGGAACTCTTCCATACTGAAATTTTTGTCAGAGTTTTTACCAACACTTTCTTGTATGTCTGTATTTCACAGCATACAATAATTTACATTGCTCTGAAGTATACTGCACCATGACATAACACATCAATCACTAGTCTTTAAGTAAGAACAAAATGGCTACTGGAGCTGATAACTGCCACCCACTGCTGACAAATCATAAACAGATTTCCCTCCATGAATTGCACTGCTCACCATGAAACAAAATGCCCTAAAGTGGTCCATGAAGTTAGTTAACTTCCCTGTATGAACAGTTCAGAGTTGCTCTAACTAAACAAGGGTGACATGCCAGCAGATATCAAGATACAGATAACAATTGGTCTTCTGTTTTCGTAGAAGTGTTAATTCAAAATACTGAAGACATTCCACATAACTGGTGTAACATCGAAAGATGTGTACATCCATAATTGTTGTTGTTCTCAGGCTAGCACAATATATGGAAGTTCTCAAAATGTACAAATAAACAGCCAGTGACTGGAAACATTTGTGATGAAAACATTGCAGATGTTTCAGACAGTGTATAGCGAACAAAGAAAGTCATATTCCAAGCTGCCTGGGTGGTGTCACAGGCAAGAGGACAGTCAGAAGTCAGAAGCAAATGGTCTGCAACACTGAAGAACAAGGATAATGTTCCACAGAGATACTGGGTTTTCAGACTTTGTCCATCATCTGGATTCTAAATAACTAAGAAAAAACAGGGATAATGTTAGCTTGATGAAGGAGGCCAAGAATTTCGATCATCATCAAATCAAATAGATGTGTCAGAATTTCAGCAAACCACACCATTCTCGATAAGAACCTGAATTTGCAGTTTGTCTGCTCAGTTAAAGAGAGTCTTGCAATCTGATACTTTATGTTTAGTTTTTCTTGTTTTAAAACAAGACAAAGCTTGGGGGAAGGAAAAGGAACAGTCATCAAGTATTCTTTGCAAAACAAAGAACCCTGGTAGCTGGGATCTGAGGTTCTCACAGCAGTGAATGCTAAGATCGGTTTTCTGCAATGTGGTGCCATGCAATTCAGCAGATATGTACCAGTGTTTCAGACGAACCTCCATCTACAAGGTATGAGAGTAAACTAAATGTGAAGAGGTGAACCATGACATATAGAGAAAGGAGAACAGGAAATGAGGTTCTGAATGAGTATGATGCCTGGAATTGCCAGGTTTCAAGGTGTATCAAAGCTTATACTTACTTTGTTGCTTTTGTCTATAAGATACAGATATTTGTGTAGGATTTATGTTTAGAATACAGCGACCAGTTACTCATAGTTCGTATGCTACCATTATGCTATTCACTAACAAATGACTTTAGGTGTACTAGTGACATACTTACACACGTATTTGAACTTATTTTTATATATCTGAATTCAGATATGCTACTTTAATTTAATTTTACACTGTGTTTGTGTTTGGTCTAGAAAGCATACATAAAATATGAATTCTGCAGTAAGTTTAGTAACATATTATATGTACATGGGTGCTAAAGGGGTTTGCATATGTGATCACTATAAACACAACTACGGACCACAGTTTAGTAACATACTGTGGCGTGCCGCCAGAAAGCCACAATGGTTGAGATCAGGGTTGATTCCCCAGGCAACGAGCAATGTTCCCACTACAACGGCTTGGAATCAGAACACATCCATTGCTATACAACAGCTAGCAAACCTAAGCAACAAATTGTTCAAGGAAGTTGCATGACAACAGCTAGGAAAACTCGTAGCAATGAGAATATGCTAGCTAACTAGTGAAGTTCCTGCTACAATGAGAAAAACACTAGCTACTGGCGGATAGAATACGTGAAATGGAACCCCTGACCAAGGTGTCTTCAAGCCTGTCCGACAGTAGGGTATATGGGACGACCAGGTCAGAATTGAAACGAGCCAATATACAAAGTGATATGAAGAGATCACAATGAGCCAAGATACAAAGTGATACAAAGAGATTACAATGAGCTGAGATACAAAGTGATACAAGGAGATTACAACGAGCCAAGATTAGCAGTGCAAGCGTTGTAACATTGGAGAGGATATGTCTAAAGGACGTTATGAGTGGAGAATAATTTAAGTGTGAGTGTAAAAGTGACTGTCCAATAAATATTCTTTCAAATCCAAGAATCCACACAACTGCCTAGCAAACACATGACAATATGATATGTAGATGGGTGCTAAAGGAGCTTGCATATATAATCATTATAAACACAACTACAGTCCATGTCAGAATGGCACAAAAATATCATTTGTTTGAGAGGACCTTCCTGCTGCATCCTTCATGGTCGGTACAATGGAATACCCAAAAGATGTATAATGATTATGGGCTGCCATGAAAATCTCAAAACTCCTTGTGTTTAAAACATCACTCACCTTGCTACCTGATCTTCAAGGCCATCTTCTGATGTGGCTCTTCTTCTTTCCATTCTCATATGTGATGAATGTGGCTGTCTTATTCTGCCATTATCCTCATACATGGGCTCTTGTTTTACTTTCACAGCTTCCAGTGACATTTTATGTTTCGGACACGTGCGTTTATGCACCCTTCCTTCCTTCACTCTACTGCTGTGGCTGTGGCCATGTCTGTGATGATTATGATGGTGACATCTGTGTCTGTGGTGTTTTCCATTATGTCCATCATGTACAACATGAACATCTTCTGAATCAGAGAGTCTACGTTTGTGTTTTTTCTCTTTCCTGGATTTTCTCACTCTTATCGGTAAGGACTCACAATCAGAACTTAACTCCATTATTTATGGACTTTTTATCTCATTAACATATTTTGAAAGGGGAAAAGAATTATGTCCAGAATCACTGGATGCCAGCAAAGAAGAGCTGTCTAAAGAACTTCACAATCTTTTCTTTCTGTGCTTTAACTCAATAAAACAGTGGAATCTTTCACTTCTGTTTTATGACACTGTAAACATATGGGTTCTTCAATACAGCATACAGAAAACTGTCCACAGTTCTGCCTGAAAAGAAATAAAGAGACATTGTCAGGGCTCGATTCTTGGAATGGGCAAGATTTTTTTTTTTCCTCCACATCGTCCAGATTGGTTCTGGGGGCCACCCAGCCTTCTATGTAATGGGAAGTGGGGGACTCTTTCTCCAGAGGTAAAGTGGTCAGTGCGTGAAGCTGACCACACACCTCCAACTTGCGCCAGTGCCGAGGTCAAGAATATGTGGGATCTATACATTTACTCCCATATACATCTATATGATGTAGTGTTTAATTAATCAATAACATGAACTATAACTTTATCTGTACACTTTACATTCATACTTTCGTTACAAGTAATCAATTTGGTGACAACCAAGGGGGCGTGAATCCCAACAATAACATCATATACACTAAAATCCGCACAACCAATACAGCAACAGGAGTACATGTTGGAACGTCTGGCACTAGGTCAACACATTTCATGTATGGAATAATAACTGCTACTCAATCTACACACCCTCGCAATTGCAGCAGAAAAATAACAAGCATATATCGTATCGTTCTAACGACAAAATATAAACATGGAACCTAACCTTACTCATCCGTACCGCTACAAAAAGACACATACATAACCGACTCGTTGGTCAAAACGTGTAGAATATTTTCTATGCAGCACCGCAACACAATTTTGTATTTCATACACCTAGGGTTTTATTGGTGATTAAATAATACAACTTACCCAGAAAATAATCACTCCAACACCCTTTACACTTCACACATACTAAGACGCACTGTTACGCAACGCAACTTAACGCTGATGGTTGCTACTTATCACACATTGCTAGGCAACACTCAATATTGCAACCTTCGCAGACTGTTTCAATGCTAGCGTGCACGGATTACTAAATAAGCTACGCGATTGTCATACTGTCAGAGATTAGTGGACATATTCCAATCACTTCTTTTTATGACTGAAATAAGTTTCGGCCTCATAAGGCCATGCGTGTAAAGTGGAATGTAATTCTGTTGAACGATATTGTAAATCGTGGTTCTGTTGGTGTCGTTCTTCACAATTCAGAGATTAAGCTTCGTGTACGCAGATTTCAGTTGTCATGCTGCCATTGACCTATTATATTGCGTGTGGTTTCCATGGCTGGTGAGTGAAAGATATGGCCTCAGCATGGCCATTTAAGGCCGAAGCATGATGTATTAACAAGGACAAACGAATGAAATACAATAGTGTGGTGATAACTACACAGTCACTGAAACATTTAGAAACGTTCCATTAGTCAAACTCGTCAAACTGATATTATATCCGTGCTATGTACTGCTATGTACAGCTAGTAGCGATCGTAGCGTCGGTAGCGATAGCAACAGGTAGCGTTGTATTCCGTGATCGGCGGAGTGCTGTTAATGATTGTGCTACCATCTACAGACCGCCTAGCATATGTGCGTGTCTTGGAAATGAGAACAATGAGAAGGTCAAGTGGTTAAGCTTACTGCTGGTAAGTGTTATCTCCTCATGAGTTGTGTTGGTGAACTACTGAGCCCCCCATACTTATACCTAGTCAGCCCATAAGAATTTTACAATCATTCATGCATCATCTTCATGTTCTTGTGTCATCCAATATATCATTTTTCTGATTTTTATTGAAGAATGTGACACATGTAATGTATACAATATATAGATCTGATATTCTATTTATTTGTATTCATTACCGACGCTGTCAGTAGGTTAAGATGTAACTGCCAATGTTGACGGTTGTTCATACGAATTAGTCAACGTGAAAGGAAGGCGGCGTAGACAAATTTGAGGTACTTTCCCGTCATTTGCGTACAGGAGCCCATGGAAACCACGAAAAATTCGGGGTACCCAGTCTTTGAACCAAAATTTCAACCTGGGACGTGCCGAATACGAAGTAGTAGGGCAACTCACTTTCCCGAAAAATTGCATAGAGATTTGATATGGATCGATATGGATGGTGTTAATATGGTTTTGAGGTAAAAAAAGAAGTTTCATAAGCGACTAAGGCTTATATTCTGCTACGGTAGGATAGAGAGCCGGTCACGGTAGCCCAGCGGTCTAAGGCGTGTACTGTCTTCGCTCGCTTGGAAACCGGGATCGTGGGTTCGAATCCTGCTCAGAGCATGGATGTTTAATTTGTGTGTGTGTGTGCATTTTTCTGTGTTTGTGTATAGGTAGAGGCCTTGCGACGAGCTGACCACCCGCCCAAAGAGTCCTACCGAATGTGTAAGATCTAGAAAAACCGAAGTGAACGGAGAAGTTCATGGAGGTAGGCCTAGGCCCACTGGGGCTGTAGTGCCAAGGAAAAAAAAAGTAGGATAGAGTGAGGTGGGATGAAGTCTGATCATTTGACATTTGAGCAGCATTGGTTCACTGTTAACATTGTAACATGTAACACCGTTGCTATGCAACGATCGCAAGAAGGAACATGCGTTTCTCAACAACGGTTCCACAAACACGTTCCAGCTTTAACGACACGCACACAACAGTAGTTACAATGGAAACAAGAGTGACTTCTGTGATACGTGACAAGGAGTTTAAAAACAAGACAATTGGGACACCGCAGTTCACAAAACAAGGTTCTTCGCACCAGTGGAAATTTTCCAAGGTGCACACCGGTCCTCGATTTACACGGCCCTCAGTCTTCTGTATGTATACGATTATATAATACAATTTTGCAAACAACAAGCAGAAGTAATACAAAATCATGAGAACGAACATGTACGCGGTATAGAACAAGGCCTAGCCAGACTCAGAAAATATAAAGAGGCTTAAACTTGGCGGTGGTCAAGCTTATTCACGTGACTAAGGTGCCGTTGTAGCATAAGTTACATAAGATAGGCATGATCTGCTTTGCAGAGTCTGTACTTATAGAGGACTTGTATATAGTGCGAAAGGAAGAATTTTTAATAACATGTTATATGTGCGATACGAACTCTTGACGAAAGGCCAAGCATATTCATAAGAGACAAACCCAACTTCTCGTCAGAGAGGGCGTTACATAAGGACTACGACAGCGAGGGTTCAGTTGAAAGAAAAAGTTCGGTCGTGTGTCAAGGGGCTTGGCGCAAAACCGGACTGGCGGTAAGCATCCAGTCATAAAGTGATCTTGACTTTACTTTGAATCCAGTTCAGTCGTCAGTTGAAAGCCTGTGAAGAGAAGACTAGGAGGTTGGTGTGAAATGACACACTATGGAGGCAGACGCCGAGGTGGAGCATGAGGAGATCCCTAAGGCAGAAGCCGCAGTGGAAACTTAGTGTACTGAAGATTCGGCATGAGAACCGGCATATAGCCGTAAGGCGCCGCGGTTAGCAGAAGAAACGGACCCAGGGCAATGGTTGGTCCCGGAAGAAGTTGGCTGCCGCCCGCAGAGGGATGATCCGCTGTGTAGGAGTGACATGGCGTAAGGGACGCGGTCATACAGTACCGACGGCCGAACGGAGATGACTGAAAAAAGCCGACCAGGGACAATGTTGCAAAGGAAACATCGAAAAGGCGGCCGTTCGTCAAAAGACGTCGGGCAAAGCCGGAAGGCATCACAGGAATAATTAACCAAGGCTCAATACAGCAGTTGCGTCGGAGGAAGGAGAGGACAACCGGCAACAACCCCAGAGAACAAAGCAGGAGACAGGGCCTATGTCTGGGAAGCCAGAAGATTATTATATGAGGCCCTCAGACAAACTGCCCAGTTGGATGTCGTGAAGTGAGCAGTCGGGATTTCCAGCGAGTTGTGGAAAATGAGTGACTGGAAATTGCCAAGGTGTCGGCCCCTTCTGAAATGGAAGAAGAGACCACTAACAACAGCTTCAGAGCCATGGATACAGGAGCATTAACCACTCTCAGAACTTTTGGCCCCCACTCATTGGAAAAGCAGGATGGTGATAACCCTGGATTGACTGACACCTAATCAGGTAGTCATTGGGACAACCGGCCTTGAGGAGGGAGCAGCGGGAACGGTTGGAGAGTAAACACCGCGGAAAACCGAGCCACAGGGAGGAAGGTAAGACAGAGCACAGACGTTATAAGCATAGCCCTCGGAAAGGAAATCATGGTACATCTGTATGCTATTCGGGACGAAGAGCCTGAAGGAGGAGCAATGTAGCGTGTAGTACCGTTGCTATGCAACGATCGCGAGGAGCATGCATTTTTGAGCAGTGACTTGGTAAACATGTTCCTGCGGAAACGAGACACACACAATACAGTTACAATGGAAAGGTGTTGCTATTTATGTGGTCCATATCGAGAAGTTGTCATTTGAAAGTCAGCCTGTAAAGAGAAGACTACGAGGCTGGCGTGAAATTGCCACCAGCCTGCAACCCAGTTAGTTGAGGGTTGGCAGTTGAGTCGAGCTCTGCAAGGGAGGGTGAGGAAAGATGGCGCTATGATTGAGTTGACAGTTGACAAGAGTTCATTTGTGGCATATGAGCGTGGGAAGCTGAAGAATCTCCACTGTTAAAGCCGTTGTTAAGGAACGGCTGTTGAAGTCACAGCAAACTGGAAAAAGGCTTAGTGGGCGCTGTGGGATCTGTGAATTGTGGAGATTAGCAGTGACACTATAATTACTTGTAGTTTTGAGTGGTGCATATAAGTGGCCAATAATCCATTCACCAATATAAGAAATGTTCTTTAATATGTTTTGGCTTCCAACCCGTTTTCAATTGACTGCCCCTCATATATATGTTACTGCGTGTGTCTGCCTATTCCTCTCCCTTAGATCAGTTTCCGGCCAGTGAAGAGTCACCTGTGTTAGGTTTGCATGTTCTGTATCAGCCAGGTTGGGTCAGTCATCACATTAGTCATTCATAACAGTGATAGGACAATTTGTGAAATGTTCCAGAGTTTTAGTTAATGTTGATGTTGATGACTGCCCAGAAAGACTTCATTGTAAAATGTTATACTTGTTCTTAATCCTATCGATTATATAAGTCTCTTAATACATTTATGCCCATTTCAGCACAGAAATATACACTGATGGAGCATAAACCATACATAGTGCCAGGAGAGGCACCAGAGTCTGACAGTGAGGAAGAGGTTAATGTAACAGTTGTAAGTATTTTAGAATTGTCAGCCTTATAGTCATCTGTTTTATAAGAATGCAGGTATGTGCTTAGGAGTCACAAAATAGTACTTCTTGGTTTAATAACACAAAAGTGAATAAAAAAATGGTAATGCTATCCCTGTAACAGGCTGTGAAGGCCCATAGGGTTCTGAGAGGTAGAGGCTCTCACATTTTCTAGACAGTTGGCTGATAGGTGGCGGTAAGGTTCTCAGCCTTATGTGCTGGTCACCCTCACCACCAGGTAGATTCCTGGTACTGATTTCTGTTAGAGGCTCAGTCAACCCCAGGGCTATAGTGCGGCTGAAAAGATTATGTCAATTGAAAAATGCAATGACCTCATTAGAAATCGAACCAGCACCCTTCCAGCTTGTAGCATAGTGCCTCAGCCAACTATGCTATTGTGTGCCCTAGTTTGATAAGACATTATGAAAAATACATTATGTATGTATATGTAGCAGTTCATCATATTCCCAAGCATTCAAAATTCCTTTCATAACTTTCATTGGGCATTTCTTAGTTTGCTGTAAATACATTTAAATGAGTAAGCAGATGATTAGATTAGAGTGGCTTGGAGGCCCTCCACCTCCATATCCCTCATTTCATCAGTATGTCTGAATAAAAAGTGATTGCTAATATGTCACATATGAAGATGACTACTGTGCTTGGGTTGTTATAAACATTTCCTTTTCCATATATATACTCCGTCTCCTGTGGGATTGAGGGTGCACCATGGTCAGTTAGTGGCTGCACCATAGCTCAAGCGGTTAGTCGCTGGCTTCCCATTGCGGTGGCCCAGGTTCAATCGGGGGTCTGGTCAAGTGGGATTTGTGGTGGACAAAGTGGCACTGGGGCAGGTTTTCTCAGAGTACTTCGGTTTCCCCTGCCAATCTTCATTCCACTAATTGCTCCACAATCACCCTCACCTATCATCTGCAGCTGGTGCAATAGGCCAGAAGTGGCCGCAGTACAAGGGACTTAGTTCCACCCTACTAGCAATAAAAAAAATGGTCAGTTAGTGATGTAGACCAGTATGTCATCATTATGAAGTTACTAAATTCTATTTTCAGCATACTTCCTGTATTCTAATGTGAGTGAGAAATTCAGACGGACTTTTCTTCCTTAAGGTTGCCTACATAAGTTATGACGTACCTCAATTCATAGAGTAGATGGATTTTACTGTTTTGAACTTTGCATTTTGCTGCATAATGTTTACATTTCAGTTGTTAAACATGATTTCATATCCTGGTGACTCATTATCTACTGTTTTACTTTTGTCATGAAAGCCTTACTTCTAGTAATTAAACTGTACATTTTATGATTGTCATGGAACTTGAACGGGTCATAGAAAATGTTTTCCAGTATATGTAAAATAACTGACAACACTGCACCAGTCTTTTTATGCAACTCACAGCTCGGTAAGGTTGTAACTGCTAGAACAGGGGGCTCCAATTCTGCATATTTCCCAAGTTTTTGTAACTTTTCTATGACTTATTTCAGTTTGCTGAGAACTGAAGTGGAGAAGCAGAGGTTTGTACAAGGGTTCGAAAAAAGATTAATGATGATATTGCTCAACATGAACAGAACTGCATAATAGCAGCTGAATGCACAGTTCATTGGCAGTGAAACTGATGAATTAAAACTTACATCATACTATTATATTTCAGCATTCTGTTGCAATGTGTAGTTAATTTTATTATTAAAACTGTCGTCTTTTTTGCAGCTTTTGTTAATGTTCTGTGGTTATGTGACTGTTCTTCACTGCTACATTACTTTCATTTACAGTAAGTCTCCAATTTACACAGTTACTTTGTTCCAAAGGCTGTTCTGTAAGTTGGAAAACATGTAAGTCAGCAGTGCTTAAATGTGTCTTTTTCAACATACACATTTCTTTCAACAGATAATTAAAGCTAAAAATGTATGTACAATAAAGCTGTATCACAACATATCATATAATAGTGTACTATAGTACAGAGGTCCTCTGTATCTAGTACTGATAACAGTAGACATCCAAATACCCAAACTGTTGAAATAAAAAAAAAACATACTTGTGTATCCACATACCTGCAGATCTGTGTAACTCGAACACATATAAGTCAGAGGCTTAACTGCAATTATTCGTAACACGTTTCAGCCATGCATGGCCATAATCATGTGTATTTATTGTATGATGCAGGTTGTTTCACTGTAATTGCTCATGTTGGGAGAAGCTTTAATTACAATTTTTAAAATTCATTGAAGATTGGCACATCCTGAAAGGCATTCTTGGAACATGCAAGATCACATCATGTTGGATCCCCACTTCATCTCTGAGAAGAAAACAAGGTACTTGCTAACTTCTGCCTGGAATTCCACCACAAGGAAGTTGATGCATTCCTGCACAGCATCATAGCAATGGTTGAAATACGGGCATGGTCGTACAAGCCTGAGCTGAAACAGCAGCCAAGTGAATAACATGCATTCAGTCTCCTCATCAAAAGAAACTTTGCTAATAGCCAACAGATATTAAGATAATACTGAATGTGGCCTACGTGTCTGTCATTTTATTCTCTACCATGCAGTCCTGCAGAACCAAGTTCTCAGTGCACACTAATGCAGCAAGTGCTTGGAGTTTTGTCTTTGTTCAGCAGTATGATGAAAGTGACTGCTTTGGACACATCAATAGTTATGTTGCATGACAATGCATCCATTTGGCTACCGGTATCAGAGATCTTCCAGTCTGGTAGCAGTAGAAGACTCTTTTAACACCCACCACAGTTGCTGGAAATGAGAATATGAAGGATCCTCTCAGAGATAGTGGTTGTGCTGTAGAAGAAACACTCAGCAGTTAGTTGGTCATTTATGGACCTGACATTTGTGGATGGAACATATTGTGACATAATGGGTGAAAGCCTGAATAGCAGAGCCAGAACAGGCGGCTCTTGCTAGCCAGTGGCTGGTAAACATGCCCCCCACTTCAACAGACATGGACCATCACTGGGCAAGAGCCCATTTGACACATCACATATCAGTAGAGCAACCATTGGAGCAGTGTTTTCTGTGTGGTCTGTTCCAAGGCTATATAATAATGACCAGTGGGACAAACCAGCAAGGATGTCAGCATGGAAGCCTTTAGCAAGCTACAGATAGTGAAGACAGAGGAGACTTTATGTATGCTGTAGTTACAGCAATCTTCAGCATGTGTAAATCAGTGAGACTGTTATAGTTACTTGCAGTTATGAGTTATGTCTTTAGTAAATCCAATTATCATTCCACACCCCATGTCTAGGCACTAACATGTGACAGTATTAAATACCAATATAAAGTCACTTAATTGAATATTTTATGGAAGTGACACTCTTTTTTTCAACATGTCTACACCATTTTAAGAAATATGAATGTATTGTTATCATCCACATTAAGTCAATAAACGCAGAACAGAAACACCAGCAATTTTTGCCAATGCAATTCAGTATATCTGCTGTTAGTTCACTTTATTATGACAGAATTTATGAATGTGCATGTATCTGTCTATAGTAGTGAACCGCTTTGTATAGAGTAGAACAGAACAGGAATCAATGAATACCAAAATGAGTGTGGGATGCAGAATTGTGAAGAGCAGTATGTTTCTGAACCCTATAACAGATTGGAGTGCAATTTTCCATTCTTGTAATAGTACCCTATTAAACTTTCTCAATGAATGTCTTTATATAATTACAGGCCAAAAGCTTGAAAGTGAAGCATTCAGGTCCAAGTAATCCACAGGGAATAATAATAGCAGGGGAAGCTCCAGAATCAGATGAAGAACATGAAGAAGGTGAGCAAAGATATTCCAAACTTATCTCCTTCGATACGTTTCAGAAGTGTGCAGAGAAATTAATAAAGGAGTTATAATATAGCTTTGGATATTAATGTCTCTACAGAATTTACTTCCAGTGAACTTTAACATAAAATTTATATTTCCCTGATAATAGTCTCTGGAATAGCCCAGGCAGGTGACCTTGTGACCAAGGAGGCTTGTGTTCAGATTAAAGTACTCCATGTGGGGTATGTGAGGGACAAAGGGGCACTGAGGAAGAATTTTCTCCAAGTACATGGCTTCCTTCTTGCAGTTATGATTCTGCTGACACTCCATAATAATCTACCACTGACCCAGAGGTATGCAGCAGGCTCAACCAGTCAGAATTTTATTACCACCTCAGCTTTTCTGTCCCCCAGAATCATCACGTCACAGTACACATGAACTGAAGTGTGAAAGTCGTCACTAAAATATGATATTTGTCTCTTTCAATCCAGACCATACATTTAAAAAATAAAACTCTCTTTCTTCTTATCTTCTGTTCCCCATAACAATTTTAAAACTGTGAGGTGTGATACTGTTAATTCTTTACTGCATGCTGCACACATGCACCAGGTAAACAACAATACAATTACACACGTTGGTTTATGGGTCTGCAGCTAAAGGGACATATAGAAGAGAAATCAGCATTCACACCAACATCCATGAACTACATGAAATACGAACACAAGCCACACTGCCAAAGATTGCACTAATAGGTCCCATAAGAAGATTGGAATTAAGTGTTTTTATTAAATTTAATACAATGATTGACTTATTTTAAAATGAATTTTAATTAAGGAGTACTGATAACTAGCCACATTAAATTGTGACATTCAGTACAGTACAACAGTTTAGGATAGCAACAGACGTCTGATGATTGCCCTGTATGGCCAAAATATGTCGTGAATGAAGAATTAAAGTGACACTAACCTTCTGTTGCGTTAGTGACGGAAATGTTATATGAAATAATTGATACACTGGTGCAACAGGATGCTTAAATACAATATTCAAGTAGTGACTTTGCTCTGCTTCTGCCCACACATATTTACTTACTTCGCTTTATTATGATATTAATTTCAACTTTTTCAAATGAACAGTGAAATAAAGTTTTATAATTTTCTCTTAGATGCTGGGAGTGTGAGCAGTGTGAGCAGTGCTGCCAGTGTATTGTCTCTGGCATCTTTGACGTCCGGGATCAAAAGAAACATCAAAGTTCCTGCAAAGAAAAAGAAATCTGATGGTGTGATATACAGTACACTGTTGCATAAAAGACTTCGTAAGTATGAATGTTACTAAGAATTTAATTTGAAATGACATTTCATGATGAGAATCACACTCTTTGTTTTGAATTTGGGATTTCCTGAGTTTGAATCTAAGCCGACAGACTGGCTAACATTGTGAGGGATCTACTAACCACTTAATAAAATACATTCACCCATACTCTCACAGTATTTTCGTACAAATATTTTTATAGGAGATAATTAAAATCATAACGTTAAATGTTAAGATCAGTGAACATACAGAATGTAATTTCCTTTCTTGTCCATAAACAGAGTGATACATTAATTTCATTAAGGTTTTAATGCCTTTAGATTGAGGCTGAAACTGTACTTGACACTGGTCTCCATTAAGTCAGTCATGGGGAATGGATGAGTGCACTTCTGGATAACTAACAGTGTCTGAGATTTTTTGTAGGATTTCTTTGGCCAAGCCAGGTGAACTTCTGAGATAGTAAGTAAAGTAAGTAAAAGTGAAGCTATCCCTGTAAGATGCTGTGAAGACCCACGGGGTTGTGAGATGTTGAGGGTCCCATGTTATCTAGACAGTCGGCTCAAAGATGGCAGTAAGGTTGTCAGCCTTGTGCGCCGGCCGCGCTTTACTCCCCAGGAAAATGATTTATTTAATTCCTGGTACTCATTTCTGTTAGAGGCTGAGGCAACTCCAGGGTCATAGTGCAGCTGGAAGGATTAGGTCAATTGAAAAAATCCAGTGACCTCATCAGGAGTTTAACCCGCGACCTTCCGGCTTGTACCACATGCCCCCCTTCTGAGATAGTACCATCACTATTTTATTCTCATGATGCAAATATGGTGTGTATCGGAAAGTTCCCGGACTGCTATCTCCTTCAAAACAATATCCTTGGGAATGTATACAGCAATCCCATCATTTTTTCCACGCTTCAAAAGCACTGTGGAAGTCATTTTTCTCAATGATGTCAAGTACTGCTTGCAATTCCCTGTGGATGTCAGACACTGCTTCAAAACGTCGTCCCTTCAGTTTCATTTTCAATTTGGGAAACAAAGCTAAATCATATTGGGCTAAGTCTGGTGAGGAGGGAGAAAGGGGAATGATAACCATGTTGTTTTTAGTCACAAACTCTTTGGTTTTCAGGGATGTGTGGGTGGGCATGTGTGATTTTGCTTTGTTTCCCAAATTGAAAATGAAACTGAAGGGAGGACATTTTGAAACAGTGTCTGACATCCAAAGGGAATTGCAAGCGGTACCCAACGGTATTAAGGAAAATAACTTCCATGGTGCTCTTGAAGTGTGGAAAAAATGATGGGATCGCTGTATATGTTCCCAAGGAGACTGTTTGAAGGAGATGACAGCCAAAATTGAGTAAGTTAAGCCAGCATTTCTTTTTTGAGCTAGTCCGGGAACTTTCCAACAGAAGCTAATATAAAGTCTGCCTCTCATGTGGCAAATATTATAAAGCTTAGGTGTAACTATAGAGTCTGACATATATTGGATAACAGTTTGTGTTTTCATTACTTTTCAGGCGAACGCAACATGTCTCTTCATAAGAATGTACATGACATCGTACATGAGACTGTTGTTACAGCAGGACGGGAACTTAACACAATGAACCACCAGCTCCTTCGTTCACAGTGTCAGCTGCAGGAAGCAGAGACAGCAGTTAGAGTCTTGCAAACACATCTCATGCAGCTGCAGATGAAGCTGGCTACTGTAACATCTACAGCATTCCTTCCATACATTAATATTCCAGCAGAAAATGCTAATGGATTAGAATTCAAATAGAGCATAGTTCATCTCCTATACTGGCAGGCCTGTTGCTATGGGCACTTCAAGCTACAAGTAGTTTTGTTTCTGTTTCTGGGTGGATATAACTGCCTTCAGGATTGATATGACTTCAGCCCTGAAGACAGGACGTACATTTTTCTAAATAGTTGGTAACCATCCATACCAGGCTAATGTCACTGTTTCTACCACATTCATCTTCCTGATTTTATGCACTACATGGTGAATTATATTGGCTGCAGTATACCTAGAAGGGAGAACTGAACCAAGGTTTATGCCATTATTAGTATGCTGCAACTTTACAAGATCTCATAGTTGGAAAATGATCTGTTCCTTTGTGCAATGTAGTAAGGAGTCTGAAAGGCTAGTGGTGGTTTCTAAGTGACTGCAGAAATTTTAGGGATGCCTTCATCAGTACACTCTGTGCTTCATCATGTGTCTTTGATGCTGAGTTGTGCCCCTCCTGTTTAACATGTTTAATTTTAATTTGAAGGTTTGATGACTTTATTGTATGATTATTTCCAGTTGCCTCTGTCAGGCTATTACTCTTCAGAAATTCTATTCCATTTTCCTTTTGACAGGTTTACTGTTTTGTCTAGTAATAACCCAGGTGTGCTTCTTAACTTCAGCACACAATGATAAGCAGTCCACACTTCAGGCCATGGTTTTCCTGGTATTTCACAACTGTTGAGTTTCAAAATTCATATTTTTTTCCTCAGCAATAAATCACATATTCTAGTATCTGCAACAACTGACTTATTGTCTTCAGGCATTTTATTCCATTTATGTTCACAGTAATACCACCTTATTTCTTTCTCTCAGCTCCACTGCTCCATTGTCACGAACTAATGAGGCACTTAAAAAAAAAAAGCTAACCCACAGAATAAAATATTGTACAGTAATATAATTACAGGTACCACAAACAAGCACTGAACACAGTAATTACTGATAACTGTTTAATTCTTTCATTTTGTAAATATCTCAAATATTACTTCATGAATATGTGAGACAACAATTGCTACTTTGTGCCGAATGAATGGGCTTAGTTTTTAATAACTGTACAAACTCAACTAACAATGAGCTGATAAGCCAGAAATCATACATCTGGATTTTTAAAATTTCACTGCAGTGGTTTGTTTTAATATTCATTTTTCCGTTGCTTCAACAAACAAAAGTGTGCTTGTTGTAAATTGGGACTGTTGTTGGCATCATGATAAGCAAACTGTTAATTAAAACACAAAACTTCTAGCCAATGAGGCACTGATTGCTGCAGTGAGTTAACTCTGCCTTGCATCTCAGAAATAGACGAAACAAGGAAAGTCTAACTGTGTGTCAGAACAATACTAAAAAGCAAAACTTAACACACAGTCTCATGTAAAAATTAAGTTAGAACTGACCTATTTCATTGCTGTTTACATTTTTTAATATATTCTTACATCTCTTTGTATTGCACTGTTGACTTTTTAATACTGTGGGCACCTAAAAGCTGGATATATGACATCCATTGCTATGCAATGGCTACCATAAGAATGCATACTTCAGTGACAAACGAAAACATAGCCAGACTGCTACATAAGAAATTCCCTAGGCAACAGAGACCGAATTGTTGAGTTCCTGCAGCAATGGATATGCTAGCCAACACTGTGTTGAAGACAGAGAGAACACTTGGACAAGGTGTTCTCTTGGCAGTACATGAAGATCTACTTTAAGAGGGTAGATGGCGACAGATCAGATCAGATCCAAGGAGATTGGAATTGAGATAAGATCAGATCAGTGATCAGAGAGGGAAGCAGGAGGAGAATGGACAGAAGCCTTTGTATGGCGTAGTTACAAGGAACATTAGAGTCTGATCATTGTTTGCAGTTATGAAGTGTTATAATTATCGCGTGTGATAATTGTAATTCTGCCTGGCATAATTGTCCAATAAGACATATTCGTCTAAAGCCACAACCCAGCAATTATTTGTCACGGATACCCAGACATGTGACGATATTTTCACGTTTTGTATCTGATGACAGTCAGCGTTTTAGTCGCTTTGTCTTGATGCAATTTTTTTTTTTTAAATTTTAGGACACTAACTCTCCACAGTATGATGTAATCACCCCAAAAAATAAACAGCACCATTCACAAACTGCTATGAATGCCTGAAAATTTTGATTTATGAAGGTATTTGATAGAAATATGAGGATTATCTACGTTGAGCATTATGAAAAGATTTCTCATCAGTAAAGACTGAATGTATTATAGCCATATGTACAACTAATGGAGAATATCACTATTACATATTTGAGTTTTGAAAAAGAAATATATATACATGTGTGCATAGAGTAATGCTAATATAATAAAGAATACAGTCACATCATGTGATTATTCAGCTTAATAGGGTCTTATGCTTACTAATGATTCACAACTTCAAATAAAATCACAATGAAGTATATATGCCTTATAGGACTAGATGGATCACAATGTTACCTACATGCAACGAAGAACATCGTACTCATTCCACTGTTTCTGACAGCACATGCTGTTTTGGTTAAATTGTAGGGATAAACACTTGAGATTTATACATGACTACACCTATATTATATCTGATCCCATCATAAATTGCAAGGGAAGGGCTCTATGTTTAATGACAATGTCAAGATCAGGCATGTGTGAGTCTCAAATTTTTTAAATCAAGTTGAGAAACAAAAACTGTCATTTCAATTCTGACATTAATTTTTCATTCCTGAACTTTGAGAATTTTCTGATCATTGATTTTGCCTCACACGGTGGAGGAATGTCAAAAGGAATCGGTATTGTATTTGCCCAAACAGAAGACTAGGTTTTTGCTCTTTTACAAGTTACAAATTTTTGGGTCTGTCATGAATTTGAGTGACATATATGAAAGCTGTTTTGATGTGCTTTAAGATTCTGTTATGTTCACAGCATAGACTGCACCATGGATAAGTAGTTCCCACTATAGTACTATGTTAGAATAGGAAACGAGACACAGAAATATGTTCCAAAGTCAAAAGCCATAAGGTTCCCTGAAGTACCAGTTTACAATATCATGAGATTCTGTGCTAACACAAGTGTCATTCAACATAAAAATGGCAAGTCAAGTCAAGAAAAATAAGAATTAGTATGAAAGGGAATATCATGTCAAAAAGTTTTGGGCACTGCAGTTATGGTTTGCACTTTAAGACTATGGTGCTTAAACATGCAAAATGAAGAAACATCTGTGAAGTGGCAAAAAGAAGATAATACTGCATCTTTTAAGGCAAGCACCTCAAGGTGGAACACAAGACAAACCAGAACTTGCCAGTTCTAGGCAAAAATTGTTGTCTGTATGGACTCGAAGACAATGGAATGACAGTCTTGTGTAACATCATTACTCAGTGAGAGACTTCAAATTTTAAGTCGAGCTCAAGGTGATCTGTAGAAGTGATGCTTAAGAACAGATTGTCTTTATAGCCACGGTCTTCACTTGTAAGAAGTTACCATCACACTTCGAGGCATTTTCAGTGAAATGACAGTGTATTTCAATATTCTATCCAGTTACACTATTAATAATGTAGATGCAAAATCTGTTGTCTTGAAAAATCAAGCAGTGAGATGTATGTGCCTGTAATGGTGATTGAGTTGGCAGATGGCACAATACCATCATGTGTCACAGTGGAACTGCATCTAACATGCAGCTTTCTCCATCATCATAATCACCCGGGGCAGATACAATAGGCCATTCAGTGGCCGCCGTGCCGAGTGGACCCAGCTGGACTCCACTCCACCCCCCCCCCACTAAGTGAATTCATCATCATCATCATCATCATCATCAGTAATCTGTCAGACGACAGGTCCACAGTCTCTTCCAAAACAATTCCTCCACTTAATGCGATCTAGAGCTTTCTCCTTCAAATGACAGTATCCTCTTCTGTCCCCAAGGTCATCCAGCATCTTCTTACGTCTTCTTGTCACTTCTATCCACCCCTCTATCTTTCCTTCAATAACTTCTTTTAGAAGGCAGTTTCTGCGTAAAACATGACCAATCCAATTAGCCTTCCGTTTTCTTATTTCATGTAGGATATTCCTCTGCTCACTGACTCTAATTAACACTTCTTCATTTCTCACATAATCGGTCCAACTGATCTTCTCCATTCTTCTCCAACACCACATTTCGAAACTTTCCAGATGTTTCTGATCTACTGCCCTAAGTGTCCATGTTTCAGCCCCATACAGAGCTATGCTCCAAATGTAGCATTTCACTAGTTTCTTCCTCAAATTTAAGTCCAATTTGCTGGTAAAAAGATTCTTCTTCTTGCTAAATGCAGCTTTTGCCATGGCAATCCTGGATTTAATTTCACTGGTACACCTTCCATCATCTGTTAACAAGCTACCCAAATATTTAAAACATGTCACATTCTCCAGTTGTTTTTGATCTGTCTTTATTGTGACGGGTTGGTTGTCTCGAAATTTTCATTACTTTTGTTTTCTCCACATTCATTTCCATGCCATAGCACCTTCCAATTTCAATTAGTCTATCAATCACCCAGGGCAGATACAATAAGCCATTCAGTGGCTGCCATGCCAAGTGGACCCAGCTGGACTCCACCCCCCACCCCCCCACTAAGCAAATTAAGAAAGGAAAAAAAAACAGCTTTCTGAGGGGCTAATGATCATACTTCTAAGTAGAGGAAGGACAACCAAAACAACGGATTGGGGACTGCTCACAAATTGTCTGGAACACAAGACCAAGAATACTGTTGAGAAAATAAGGGATGCTTGTGCTAGATGCATCTGAAGGTCATTTAACACTGGCTGTCAGACACTGACCTTGTGGTCATAACTGGAAGGATGACTTCATAACTACACATGCTAGTCAATAAGCCTTATAATAATCATATGCAAGAACAATATCCTGAATGGCTCTTGGTAGGGGACCAAGTTCTGACACCAAGGGGACAATAAAGATGCCAGTGGATCAAGATCATGACAACAGATCTCTCCAGAAGTGATGATCAGAGGATTTAAAAAATGTATATCCAATGAAATGGATGGGAGGATAAGGAAGAAGTTGGGAATGTTGACAGCAAAAATGAGAGTGTGAGCAATGAATATGGGACAAGATCGAGAGAATTGTGAAGACAATGAAGATTAACCAGGCAACGGGACTTGTGAACAGACTTATGAAAGCGAATAAGGCTAGTGACTTAAAGAAGGAAATTGACTCGATAAATTTCATATATAACATTTTTCCTAATACTTGTTTTCTTTCACATCTTTGTACTAAGATTATGAAATTAATTCATAAAATTACTTTTAATGTGCAGACATGTTTCCTAGTGCAGGATCATCTTGCATTCAGAATTGTCACTCAAGTAAACATGGCAGTACACTTTACTGTACAGTTCAAAAGGTTGCTTTTGTTATAAATTATTGCCGTGAAAAAACTGGTCCACAGCAGAAAGTTCTCATTCTTTTCTCAATTCCCCAAGATTTTCCAAATTCTTGTCTTGATCTTTTATTGAAGTGAAAAATTAATTCTCGCACGTGCCTAACCAAAATGGTAAAATGTTCAACAGTAAAAATAACACTGGAAGCAGTATTGTGGAAGACAGCTATGAATCTACAGAAAATTGATTTCATAGGTATACATATACATGTTTTTTGGCATACAGTAAAAGGTAAAGATTGAATTTTAAATTTGTAACATTGTTAACAAATTAGCCAAAGCTGTTAGCTGGATTCCAATTAGTGAAGGAAGTACTTCTTTTTCAGGAGTTCCAAATGTTCTTCTGATGCAGCCTGAGGACAGCTGCTAGATGGGTGCTCTGAAAGGGAATCTTTAAAAGAGGAAATATATTATATGTATGAGGACTGATCATTTAATTTGTGCACTGAAACTGTTACCCATGCATCACTCACCCTGCATCACAGTTCCACTAGATGTCACTTCACTGATTAACTGGCAATATATTTAGACAAGTTCAAGGCCAATATGCTCCATCTAACTCTTAATATATTTAGACAAGTTCAAGGCCAATGTGCTCCATCTAACTGGCAGTATATTTAGACAAGTTCAAGGCCAATGTGCTCCATCTAACTGGCAATATATTTAGACAAGTTCAAGGCCAATGTGCTCCATCTAACTGGAAATATATTTAGACAAGTTTAAGGCCAATATGCTCCATCTAACTGGCAATATATTTAGACAAGTTCAAGGCCAATGTGCTCCATCTAACTGGAAATATATTTAGACAAGTTCAAGGCCAATATGCTCCATCTAACTGGCAATATATTTAGACAAGTTCAAGGCCATTATGCTCCATCTAACTGGCAATATATTTAGACAAGTTCAAGGGCATTATGCTCCTTCAGACTAATGTTACATCTCCTTTGCACAGATTCTGCTCTGTGCATTCACTGTGAATAACTGTCTTGCCTTTTGCAGTTTTAGAAGCAGAACACTTGCAAATTGAGCACTGTTGCTTTCTTTGAAAATGTCAGGAAAGGCATATGATTTGAGGTTTTTATGAGGGTAACGGCTCACATTGCAGTCTTCTGGGTTATGACACTATAGTCAACCTCAAGATGGGGCAGCATGTTTCTCTGAAATGAGGGTCCCACATTATGTGATGTTATAACACATAAGACCACAGAATGTATTAAGAGAGGTTTAAATTCTACTGCTTCTTGACAAAAACTTAATGGAGAGGAATATCTGTAAAGAAAGAGGGATTTCTAAGTGAGACATGTGGTTTATGGAGGAAAATAGGTGACAATAAATCATGAGATAAAGTGACTGTCTGTGGGGTAGTTCCAATAGATAAGGGTAAAGTGATCAGATTGCGAAGTTGACATGCCTCTGCCTCATGCTGAGGTTATGAATATATGCAGTTTTAACTCCACAACCACATACATTATCATGGTAAGGAGCTGGAGGCACATCAAGGAACCTTGGAACACAAACAAAAGTTTTAACAGAGCTGTAACAAGAGGGTGGGGAAGCACAAGAAATGTTTACACAACAATGGAAAGTACTTTGATGTAGACAAACTTCTGCTGGACAGCAGCAATGATGAATAGGCACGTGGCATGTACAGTGCATGAATTAAATGAACAACATAAGTATGTATGGTGCAGTAAATTCTAGTCTGTACATAACACAGTACAGATGTAGCCATTTTAACACTTCTAATACAAAGGCTGATTAGATTTGAGATTTGAGGTTCTCACAGCAGCGAGTACCAACATTCATTCTTCTAGAATATCATGCTTTGTAATTTGGAACATACTGTCTCCACCTTCAGGGTCTACCCTGAAAATGTTTGTCTATCTACCAAACTATGCATTATTATATCATACAATATAAAACAGTAATCTGAATAGTTACTGCATTGAGAAACTCTAATATCCTATCAATTAGATTTTTGGTAAACTATATACATAAGTGCCATTGTTGAGCAGATTCATTCTGCATATTGACACATCCACCAATCCTATTAATTCTTAAATATGTGATTTCAAAATAAATGAAGGAGAAAATGCTAAGTGCCCAACATTTGGACAGGCTGGTAAGTAGTATACTCTTCAAAATGATAAGAGACAAGAATAATTATATCAAGTAGGCTCTAGTAATTTTTCATGATGCTGAAGTATGTAATAGCTATTGTTCCTACATTTAGATTATAGCTGCAATGACTTCAAGTCTGACACATTTCCAGTCTAGAATAAGACATTAATAGTGGATCATTCTCAAGATGTCTGTGATAAACTAACTCAACTCACTTGTAATAGAACATGAAGGTTCATCAGCATTATTACCAAAGCCACCTGTTAGACCTAATCCTGAGTTAATTTGCCGGTTCCTCATCTTCATGGCCTATTTTCCTTAGATCCATCTGAAATCGTAGTAACTACCTATCTGGTAGCAGAACCCAAGGGCTCACCTCAACTATTATAAGGGGTAGCCACTGAAGTCAATCCTCAGCCTATTTCTCCAAGATCCATCTTCAGTTTAACCATGATATCCAGCTTAATAGTAGCTTAGAACCCACTGTCCAGTAACAGAATTTGAAGGTTCAACACCATTGATACTAAGGTAGGAAATGGGCACAATCCTGTGCCAATTATGTCTACCTCCCATCATCACAACCTATTTCATATGACACATTCTAACACTATTGTCTGATGTCTTTTTCAGTCTTCAAAACCATCACTTTCCAAGAGGTCTTCCCATTTAACTCCTACATGTACCTTTTTTTTGCACACCTGATATAAACAAGGTTAAACAATTAAGTTCCAGGATTGCATAAATTTAAGAAAAAAGCACATTTAAAATCAAACATATCTTTTAATATTCTTCAAAATAATCTCCTTGAGATGTCACACAATTTTGTATTCACTCATAAAATTGTTGGAAAAACTTTTTGAACTCATTTGCATGTAATGCCAACAACCCCTATGTTACATTTCTTTTAATGTCCTTTACGTCTTCAAATCTTCTCCCTCTCAGCGTGGATTTGATTTTGGAGAATAAACGAAGAAGGAGGTGATTTAATTCTAGAATCCCTTGTTTTGTCAAAAACAACTTTATTAATATTGCTCTGTGAGATCTCTCATTATGCAAGAGAAACCAGCTTCCTCTTTCCTGAAACTAAGTCTCACTCAACAAATTCTTTGAACCAAACAAGAAAATACTTTCATATAATATTCCTTATTCACCATATAATCTGGTGGAACAAATTCTTTGTGAATGATCCCTGATTGTCGAAGAATGTGAACCAACATCACTTTGTTTTTTATTTTTGAAATTAGAATTTTTATGTCTTAGAGAACCTGGCAAGCAACATTCCAGCTTTGTCATTTTGTTTGAGGATCATACTGGAAACACCAGGTCTCATCGCCTGTTACAATTGAGCCAAGCATAAACGATCATCATCCACAGACTGAATAAACTCCTGAGAAGCCTGTAGTCTGAGAGCCTTCTGCTCACCAGCCAAACAGTGCAGAACAAACCTAACGTAGATCTTCCATTTTCCAAGATCTTCCACTAAGATTTTTTCTGCTAATTTTGAGTTCCTCTTCAATCATCTGAAGAGGCATCTGACAATCAGATGAAATCAATTCCTGAACTGTTCTGATAGTGCCAGGCGTTAAAATGGCTGTTGGTCGGCCACTGCAGTGGTCAACTTCAAGATTTTCATGGCCATCCAAAATGTTGCATATCATTAAGAAACCCACGTGAGAGAAAGCACTGTCACCGTAAGCCTGTTTTAGCAGCTGGAAATTTCAGTAGCTGTTTTGCTTATCATGAAACAAAACTTAAAGTTCACTCTTTGCTCCATCACTACAAACTGTCATAAAGATCTCCATGGTACAAATTCTTAAACGTGACTGAGCATGAATGACCGGAGAGGAGTGACTGACCTTGTACAGGGAACGCAATGGAAGAGCCAGCTTATATGGACAAGTTGAAACATGTTCCTATGTACATTCTAAATGGTTCTGACGATGGTGTCCAAACACCCAGTAATTCTGTATGTTCCTATGTGCCTTTAAATGTGCATAGTGGACTCAGTCCCAGAATTTATTTGTCAAACCTTGTACATCAAGTCAATTAAAACCTTGGTTATTTCACTACCCTAATAATACTAGATTATTTGTATAAATTATAAAATTGGGGACTAGCTCTATTGATTGGGTCCAACAGAGTAGGTTTTAACCTGAAGGCAGAGACAGATTCAAATCTCCGAAACGCTGTGATTTAAATAAAAAACAAGATGATGTATAATGTCCAAAAACATGATAACTGCTCAAAGTTATTGCTATGTAATGTCATCATCTCTTGTAAATTATGACTGGTGGATTGGCCAGAAAAGGTTTACTAGCATTTCTGTAATATTTTTTATGTAATTAAAATTTAATTAATTGGGAAAGTGGGTGTGAAAGTAACTGGATTCACTCAGGTCCCACGTTTCTGAGTCTGAAAGTTGATAACCAAGTTGACGTACCAGTACGTGTATGTTTACGGATGCTCCTCTCAAGTTCCCGGCGCAAAATATGACTGAAAGGATGCTCAGTTTGCCAAGCATCAGCTACATGGGCTGTCACTGCAACTGCTGGACTGGAAATGGGATTTATCACAGCCTGTACTGGACCAGACTGGTGCACAGGTGACCTTATATCCAGCATGCCTTTAGAATTTAGCTCCTTCTCTTTCCTGGAATAATAAGAAATCAACAGGATCTGTCCATTCATACCAGTCGGCGAAGTTTAGTGCCAACTTTAGCAGATAGAGGGTGTCGCGTCATAAGTGCAATGAATCCCCACAGCCGTTAATTTCGGTTTTCTAGACCGGAGCCACTATTATTATCATCATGAGGCTGAGTGGACCGTGTCCCATACCCACGACTCCTCAGAATATCTGGTAGTGCCAGGAATCGAACCCAGACCACTGGATCTGTAGCCAGGAACACTGACCACTAGACCACAGAGGCGGTCCTCCTATTATATACAAAAAGTTATTTTTAAGTTTGTTATTTAATGATATCAGTATTGCTACTGCATAGTGTTAATGATAAGATGATAAATGAATATGGAGCAATTGGTGGAATTTGAATTGGCAGGGGAACTGGAAATATTTTGAGAAAACCCGCCCCTGTGCCCCCTCATCCATCATAAATCCTACACAACATGATCTTCTCCTTAGCGGTTTGTTCATGCCCATATTAAACAACACAAGAAACTAAATGAAGATAATTTAAGCTATGTAAGATTTGAGGTCTTCACGACGGTGACTGTGAAGAAAGCCGTCTTCTGGGATGTGGTGCTGTGTAGATATTGTATTAACCGATGTTTCAGAGGAACATATCCGCAAGCGAGGAACCAGCGTGAGCAGGTGCTGACAGCACCTGCTCACGCTGGTCCCGCGCTTGTGGATTTTTTTTCTTTTTTCTTCTACCCTGAAAATGGAGGCGATACGTTACTTCGAAACATTGGTTAATACAATATCTTCATGGTACCTCATCCCAGAAGATGGCTTTCTTTGTAATTTAAGCTAAACTACCCTGACCTAACATAAACTAATAAACCCACACCATCCAAGAGGAACAGTCCATGTCACCAAACTCCACCCTTCTACCCATATTCCCACTGCAGGACCTACATAAAGGGCAACATCATCCACCTGCCTCATTCACCCTGAAAATGATGACTGCAATGTATGGTGAAATGTTGGAACAGCTTCAACACATGATGTGACTAAACTTTGAAAGCTGAAATTTCGAAACAGACCATGAAAACCCAATGACAAGATTTTTTAAAAACTGTTAGGAGTACTTACAAATTGGAATTTGGGGCAAGATTTACATTGTATGATTTCTCTATAAGTTTTTTCTTCCTAATTTCATGTTTCTTCTCACATTCCCTTGTTAACTTTTCACACTTCTCTCTCAATTCTTTCTCTTCCTCTCCTTTGGACTGTAATGAGGCTTGAACTTTAGCCAACTCTGAGAGAAGTTTAAGTCTTGTCTCTTGAAAATCTTGTTTCATGTGGGCTTCAGTCGTGTTCCTTAACTGACTAAGACGTGTTTGTTCTTGAACCTAAACAACACAAAAGTTAAAATTAGAAAAATATATATGCAGTTTCATACCAAAGGGAACGCCAGTTAAAACATTCTACATACAAGTGGAAGTTGTGTAGTCAACAGCCATACCTGTTTTTCTATGAATGTACTGATTTGGCACAATTTTTCGTTGAGATCATCACGGGCTGCTACTTCTGCCTCATATTTTGCATGACTTAGGGCCACTTCATAACTATTTCTCAATTTCTCCAGCTCATAACGTGACACAAAATCCTTTTCAAGGCGACTGTGTAGAATATTGAGCTCCTTCTCCAGTTGCAACTTCTCCTAAAAAATAAAAACTAAGATTACTCTCACCCATAGTGGTGTATTCTGTATGGTTTAAAGCTTTCATGGTGACAGTATACAATGAAGTCTTCACAGGTGATCTACAGCGTCAATGTGGAATTAGTGTCTGACATTTCAGACTTTTCCTGTCTCTATTATCAGGGTTGATGTAATGAATGTTTGTGTTCATATGGTATATTTATATAGAAAGAGATGTCATTTGTCCTAGCCTGGATCTTGTGGGGAACTGTGGACAGACCAGTAACAAGCAACATGGCTGCTGATGACTGACTGCCCACTATTCCCAATACAATCTGCACTGGGCTAGAAAATCACTATCTGACTTTGCCCTCTGTTCCCCATGCAGTCGGGCCTGTGTCAGACGACAATTTTGTGTATATATACTCGTGTATATATATATATGACATGCAAACACATTCTCACATCAACCCTGATGGGGGGGGGGGTGAGTGTCCCTGAAATGTCAGATACTAGTTCCACATTGACATGGTTGATTGCCCAAGAAGGCTTCAGTATAAGATAAACTTTCCCACAGGATAAATCAGATACGCTCTTAAGAAATTTCAGCCATTTATGCTCTGCATAAGTTTTATATTTGAGAGTACACTGCATTCAAATGAAGTGGAAACGTGCTGTGAGCAAGAGAGTAGTAGTACTTTATCGTGCGACCGTGAGGGAACAGCTGCAGGGTCTTCTTGCATGCATCACTTACTGTCTCTACTTAAATGAAAAAAACTTGCTATATAAAAACTGCTGATAGTGACCTCCTCCTGCCTTAAAACAAGCTTCAGTGTGTAAACAAGGTTTTAATCACATTCTGAAGTTCTCAAGCAAATAATTCAGTGCAAATTTACAACATACCACACCATTAATACTGCATAATGACAAATTTTGCAGCTAAAAGCTGCCAAGACGAATTATTGCTGCATAATCTGATGATAAAATTCCTACACATATATCATTTTATACAGGCAAAATCAAATATTAGTCTTGTGAGCGTGAACACAGAACCCAGTAAAACTCCAGTTTCTTGTGTCAAGTGTCTCAATGATTTGTGAGTAGTGAGCTCTATTTGTGCCTGAATATCTTGAACTCCTTCTTCAGTTAGCACATTTCTCTTGGATTGTTTTTATTTGTCACAAACTGAACCTTTGAGCCACCAATTTCTGACACACTTCAACACATGCTGCTTATGGGAATATGTTGTTGTGCGTATTAAGAGATGAACTTCTGAATGCACTTTCTGCAATTTTTCTTTCATATCAAAGATTCAAGCACGAAAACTTGCTTCTGAATCATATACTGCACTGAAAGAGAACAGATTCAGACTTTAAGATGAAAAGATCTGAGCAAGCAGAACTCTCACATGCTACTATACTAATCACAGTGTTTTTTTGACTGCAAACATCTAAGTGTTCATCTCCTCTTTCTCCCCACCATGGCAGGCTGATGAAGCTGGTTCTGGAGTGGGGGTGGGGGGCTTTTCATCATGGCACCTATATGTCAAATAAACTCATTACTAGGAAAATTCAATGTGGACATCTAACCTATTCTGAAACTGTTATAGTCAAGACATTGGTCATGTGATTCATTATATTGTCACGTGTTGCGTATGTCATGCAACGAATAACTTCATGCCGTATTGGATAGAGCAAATTTATTCCACATTCGCTCTTACGCTTACACAATTACTTCCCCTGCTCTTGGCAATTTCAGGATCCACACTGTGTCACTCCTAATCACACACTGCTCAGCCGGCTTCTTATACCGTTCCTTGTTGCCATGTAGTAACCGTGGTGACCCCTGTTACGTCACAGTGGGAAGTGCTGTTATGTCACCATGGGGAGGGGGGTTACTGAGAATTGCATAATGGTGGGAGGAGTGGGGGTATGTGACATCGCTCGCAAGACTGCAGAGTTCACATGACCCCTACTCTCTGTTGCGCCATCCACGTCACAAAATATTTAAACTGAAGGACCCATAGAAAATCATATGAGACATAAATCCATTTTACATCCAAAAAGGCTTTGATAGCATTGCTGGAAATGTTCGGAGAACAGTAGGCCTTCAGTGGAAGACTTCAATGAGAAGATGGCTGAGACCTTTCTTAAGGCTAATCTCCTCAGCTCCCAGTCTCTGGTCACTCAGCTGCAGCGTGTAGGGTAGAATGCTGGTTCAGTCCCTAAGGGAAGTGCTTGTTTGGATGGTTAAAGGCACTCACAGAGGTGCATCCTCTATACAGCCATGATGAATAGAAATGCTTCCCTACAGAGAGCAGCTGGATGACAATGCATGGCCAATTCTACAGGGGGTGAAGACTGGTTGACATCCAGAATGGAAGAACATTGCCGACTGCAGCCGCTACACCAGAGACTGGGATCTGATGCACTGGTATGACATTGTGGTGTCCTTTGCGAAGGTGGTCACAGATGTACCAGGTTGGTCCAATTGGGTGGAGGTAATGGTAATATGCCTGAAGTCTTCTTGGAATGAGCAGCCCTAAGGAGAGAGCAATGTAACATGTTGCCAAAAATTCAGAATCTTAGAATCACAGAAATATATGAGAGGCATCAATTACTAGGTAATGTAATGGCAAAATATGAATTTGAAGCAACAGATGAAGTACTGTTGAGCTCAGCATTGTCCAGTCAGTCTGAAGCAAGGTGATATAGGGAGTCTGCAATGACCACACCAATGAAAGAGTCTGTGACAAAGTGGTCTGCAACCTGGCAATGGAGTCCATAATGAAAGACTGCCAGAGAAACCAAGCAAGAATGGTCTAACAGACTGAACGATTGTGATTATTTGTAAAATGTTATAGATAATGGTATTCAGAGTCAAATAAAATCGATTGCAAACCTGAACCCATCATGTAGTCACTATCTTGTGACAATACAGTTGTATGCATGCATAGTTTTGGCAAGTCAGTAAGATTTCATACAAGTGCTTTCAGAAAATGTAGCTACAATTGACAAGCTATTTTCAAAATTTTTTCATGACTGTCCAGCCTGATATGGACCTGCAACAGCATCCAGAACTGTACTTTGTCAACTGGCAAAGGTGTGTGTTTTTGTGTTTGTGTGCATATGTAAATTATGTATTACTTCAGATGATTGTAGTAGTTAAGGTTTGAGAATTCCTGAGTTAAATATGATCACTATCAAAATGACATTGATGATCCAAGGCAGGATTTATTTTTGTATTGTATGCCACTTTCTGAAGCAGTGTCAGCTGCAGAACAATGCTCTGATCATGACAAGGTCAAACAATAACTGTATCACAGTTCAACAAGAAAGAATTTTCATGATAACGAAATTGGAAATTTTTCTTACCTGAAGTTCATATCTCATTTTGTTTATTTGAACTTCTAGAGAAAATCTCATTGAATTTTCTTCTTGCACTTTGTGTTCCAGTTCAGCCACCTGGATTCATTCATAATAAATCAGTACCCTGTTTTTAATAATGCTTCATTCAATACAATGATACAGAAGTACAAATCATTCAGAGCTGAATGAAACTAAATCTATATACTGTCAAATTTGTAAATCAAACAACTGCACGCTCACCAAGACATTTATAATTATATGATATTATTAATTTAGTCAGTGCTAGGAAGTCATCAAGAGAGGAAGCAGCTGGCAAGAAAATGAAGTGTACGGATTATGGGGTGGAAGAAGATACAAGACTTTTCATCCACTGACCTACATAAAGTGGAAATAATGCTAGAAGAAGATATCAGAAGCTATAGAAAATGGTCTTTGAGATGCTTACCTGCCTCTGGAACTCAGATATGTTTGGATCATAATGTGAAGGACTTTGTATACCAGTCAGTAATGAATTATTATTATCAGTGTTATTTTGTTTCAAGACCATGTTTGACTCTATTTTTCCCTGTTTCCTACTTTCCCCCAGTTTGTTCTTCAGCAACTGTATATCAGATTTTAATTTCTTTACGTTTTGCTGATACTTCCTACATTTATCCTTTTCCAGTTGTAGTTCCCTTTGCAGTTCAACATTTTGTATTGAGGGTGTTGTATTTGTTGCTGCATCCCTGCACTGTCGATAATTTGCTCTGCAGGCTGGCTCTTGACTTACTGATCCCAGGTCTGAAGTACTTTCATTCGACAGGCCACACGGCATTTGGTTCTGGCAACATGCCATGTCCAAGAACACTTCAGAACTAGAGCTATTGTTATCTTTGTATATTTGCTGATAGTTTGCAATGCTTCCAGACCCATGAACTGACATAACAGATAGCTTTGAGGCACAGTCTCCTTGTGCTTGTTCCTTATAAGATTCTGATGGTCCATCTTCTGATCTTATTTTCTTATTTGTGAAAAGACTGGGACTTTGAGAATTTTCTGTCAATGCATAACAATCTGCTTTGTCTGTCTTATTTCCTATGCCTGTAATATGCACTGAAGGTCCAGGGTACCTGCTGAGCTGTGATTTTGCTGAATTAGTATTTTGTAATTCTTGTTTTCTTCTGTTGGCATTTATTAGAATTCGGGATTTATTTTCAGCACTTGGAGAATTTTGTTTCTCTTTGTTCAGTAAAGAAATATTACTGAAATTCGGTTCATTTTCCCTCCTATCATTTGTCCTAACTGAGGACTTGGGTTCCTTTGGATTTGCTGTAGGACCACCAGTCACAGCGAACACATTGTCACCCTGTGCTTGCATGGCCAAATCTACAGTCTCAACATTATCTGCCTTTATGCCTTGAGTTCTATGTTGTGCTTCTTCTAATGACACTGAGCAGCCCTCAGAAAGCAGATGGGCTAATGAGTCCAGATTTTTATTTGCCACTACTGAGAGATTTCTTGAAGTTCCATGATTTTGCTGGAGATTCTGACATCCATATGGAACATCCATATCCATAGCCTTGTCAATTAACATTCTCTTTATCTGTGCTTGTAGATCAGCATTTTCCTTCCTCAGGTGATCTAATAAGTTGCATAATTCTGTGATTTTTGTTTGCTGATGTTCTTCAATAGTGCTTATTCTGCTTTTAACCATTTCTTGCTCTTGATGCTTAACCTTTCTCTTCACTTCTTCCAGTTCTTTCTTCAGCAAAGTACTCTCATATGCATTTGTATCCTGAGCCTCTTTTAGAAGGATGCTGGAAGATTCTCTTGATTCTCTCAACAGTATTAATGTTCTTTCCAAGTCCTCTTTTCTCTTTTTACATTCTTTGGATACTTGCTGCAACTGGGCCTGCAGGGAAGCATTCTCCATAGATACACGCACCAACTCAGTATCTGGATCTGTCATTGTCTGCACAGAATGAATTTCTGTTTTAAGAGGCTGTACTTCATGCATCATTGTTTTAGTGTGAAACTCCTCCAGTTCAAGTTTCACAGCTTCTAATTGTAAATTTAATTCCCTGTTTTCTGTTAAGAGCTTCTCTACAACCTCTACTTTTTGGTCTGTCGATTTTTCATTAAAAATCTCTTTCATATTCTGATCATCTAGTAATGCTTTATGTGAACAGTGCCCATCTGACACTACTGTATTAATTTTTGAACTGTTGCAGGTAGGCCCACATTCACAACTCTCATCCTCTTCTAACACTACTCCAAAATCTGCCCTTCCATCTCTAAATTCCTTATTCTGTTGCCTACACTTACTCTGAAGTAACATCAGATCTGGTTCAAGTTTAGTGTCCTCATCCTTACATTTCTGTTCCTCTTTACATTCCAGGGGATCAGTCATAGTGCCCCTATCTTCCACAGCCTCTTTCCCTTTCAAATGCAAGTCAAATACATCCACTTGCTCTTTCAGCTTCTGATTCTCAATTTTCAACTTATTCAGCAGGTCACTGTACTGTTCTGGGCATCCACAGGCTATGAGTTCAGGCACTGTGTCTTGTCCTGTCACACTGTTTTGTTTTACTTTCTCTGTAAGTAAAATTATTTGCTGTTTTAATTGCAAATTTTCCATAAGCAATTGGTCAGATGCCTGTATAGTCCCTATGTCAGTTTCTGTCATGGTTTCTTTATGTATCATGTCTTCTTGGTCTCTGATGTGTTCCAAAAGTAAATCTATTTGTCTTTGCAACCTAACATTTTCATTCCTCAATTCAAGCAACAATACTTGGGCACAGTTTGGATTCTGTTCCCATATTATGGGACTAGTCACTGTTTCCTGTTCTTGTGTATTTCTCTCTATTGTATGTTTAAGTTCATCTTCTTCATTTAGCTTGATTTTCTTCAAAGGTGCAAACATGGTTAAGTTTGTCATTACCCCTTTATCACAATAGCACACTGACGTCTTCATCTGAGCCTGCAGTTCTGCCATCTGTTTCTTAACATTTACTGCATGTCTGCCATCTCTCTGCTTTGTTTCTGTTACAATTTCTATCCCTTCTTCAGGTTCAGTCTTCTTTAAAAGTATACCTATTTGTTCTTTCAACTTAGCATTTTCATGCTTTAGCTCACACCATAATTCTCTCAAGTTTTGTGGACTCTGACTCAGGAAACTTGTTATCTGTTGTTTCAACAGTATATTCTCTTCTCGCAGCTCTTCCTCTGTCTTTGATGACTCCCTTGAACATGTATCTGAACTTGGTCTCATTGTCTCCAACTTCCTCCTCAACTCTTCTTGTTGGTGCTCAAGTTGTATCCTGAGTTGCCGACACTGATCCTCAAGTTCACTGTTGAGCAACATAAGTTCTTCCAACAGTTTCAGTGTTGTGTATGTGCTACCAGTCTCTTTACTGGACTCATCATGAGGGGCCTGTTTTGAGAAGGGATCTGGTAAGTCTTCCAGCAGCTTATTTATAACCAACTCAAGTTGTTCATTATGTTTCAACAGCGATAATTCAGCTCTTGAATACTCTGCATTTAGTAGATGAATGGCATTTAAAACATCTTCCTGAAACAAGTAATAATAATACTATTACATTACACAGATTACGAAGACTGCTGAAACTATAGATAGGTAGACAAGGCTGACATTCTGAATCATAGGTCACATGTACAGCACTTTGTCAAGTCACAATGTGCACAGAATTTTTAACCACTTTCGAAGTATGAGGCATATGTGATGCGCATGTACATGTGCAGTGCACTGACTCACAATCTTCATTGGAGGTTTGTGTGTCCATGCCATTAGGAACATGCGGTAAAGTAGGCTTGACAAGCAGGACCTTCTAAAGTTAGTGTCAAAATCAGAAATCCTATGTGGTCATTTGTGGCAGTTCTCATTGGTTCTGGTGATGAATCTGCCATTTTGAAGGGAGGTCCCAACTCCCATTGGTCTACCATGACTACACCAAGATGTGACAGACATGAAGCAGCACATACTTATTGGATAACTGCAAGAAACCACGTCCTACTGTGTCACAACTACACATCTCAAGAAGCGACAAGGAATAAGGTCTATGTGCCTTATGTCCAATCCACAAGATGTATTGCTCCACCACACTGCCTGAATGCAGCTGCAAATGAACAATACCTCTTTTTACCTACTGTACCTGCTACAAAAACTGGTGCCAGAACTTGTCAGATCCATGTTATTGAGAAAATGCATTGTTTTGGAGTGCATATCAAAGGTTTGATTCCAGAATGCACTGACACTGTATCTTGTTTGTGTTGTTCGAATATAATGCTGTTGTTGAAAAGACAAGTTGTATCAAATTATTCTGTTGAATATTCTGACATACACCACTAGTTCACTTGATCATGGGAGAAGCGAATACTCCTAAGAGTCAACATTTCAGTTGCACTTCCATGGAAAGAACTGTTAAAGCCCACTCGATTCTCAGGTTGTAATTAAAGGAGCAGTGTAATTATTAATTATGATTACAGGCAACTGTCAGATTGGATTCACTGCAAGGGAAACAGACCAAACTGATATAAAATTAAAAGTGGGTAAGGTGCAACATAAAAAAATAATACAATAAAATTATATTCTGACTCTTCTTAGAAATGAGAAAGATAAGATGGGAAATACTGATTTTATTATTATAATTATTAACTACTATTGTACTGGCATACATTGCTATCTCACCTAAGAGAGATATGGGCCCCTACATATTGGAACACTTATCTGACCACTGGTCAGATTTGGTAGTAAAAGTGTTAATAAAAGCAACAAAACACTGATGAAGGAAAGCAGTAACAGAGAATGTGAAATATGGGTAATGAGAGAAAATGATCGAAAAGGGATTCAAATTTCTGAAATGAGGTATCTGAAACATGTCCATGAGATGACATTAGACAAACAATTAAATGAACAGGTAAGAGAAAAATTAAACATCTGGTTAACTGAATAAGAGGACTGAAGATGTAAGATGCAGTTGGACTCATCACAATTGACGAATGGAAGATCAAGGATTTGTAAACAAATATTAACAATGGACACAAGAAGACCTCAAATGAGATGGACAGATCTGTTACAAAAGTCTGAAGAAGGAACAAGTGAAGACACCAAAAAAGCAAATTTGATGTCATAACAGCAGAGAAAGACTGGAGGAGTGAGACCATGTAAAATTAAAAAACCTCTGTATTTAATATATTTTTACCAGCTATGTACTATCTTATACATAACACATACATACCTGAATTTTATTGTGCCAAATAACATAATCTTTTTCTTTTGCTTCCTCAATTGTAAGAATAATTTTTTGCACTTCATGACTAAAGTATTCTTGTGAAGTGTTACTGATCTGAGCTTCACTGTCAACTGAAGGTCTGCATGAACCCATCATCTGAAGTTTTTCTATGCATGTTTCATGTCTAAAAAGAGGAGAATCAACTGCCTTAAAAGTTTTGTTTTTTTAATGCTAAACATACTGATTTAAAATAAGGTAAATTCTGCAACATGGCTAGAGATAACTCATGCAGGGGAACTGGGAATTATGTCAACCATTCATCACTCACATATCATCTTTGAAACTGAACCATCCTGACAAGATATTTATACTATGAGATGTTACAAGAAAATAACTGAATTCAAGTTCTTGTGCAGCAACTTGCAAAACTCGTGAGATGCATCATCAATCATGCAAATACATGTTTCAGAAGTTGTGCCAACAGTGTGTTAAGAGTAATCATTTCAATGGAACACTTATCAAAATCTTGGAGACAGATTTCTAGAACAGAAATTCAATATCTGAAACAGAACAAATATTCATTCATTCATCAGTAATCTGTCAAGACGACAGGTCCACAGTCTCTTCCAAAACAGTTCCTCCACTTGATGCGATCTAGAGCTTTCTCCTTCAAATGAAACATCTCGCATACATGGTATCTCTGGTTTTGGAAAGAGACTATCCAGGAAAAGTGATAATGTGGTAGTTTTTCCATTTGCTTTCCACATCGCAGTACAATAGGCGTTCAAACCACTCTGGTCACGCCTGTTGCTATACGAACTTGAACCATCTCGAGCATTATTTACTCTGTGCTTCAAGTCGCTGCTGATGACGCTGCTTCCGGCATCAGTTTTTGGTGTCTCTCTTCGTCTGATGCCTACCCTTTGACCTGTCCAGCAAGGGAGGCCCTGCCAGTAGCTACGCTACCGCTGGTATAGCTCTCAGGGTCCTTGGCATACTCAAACCCCCTCACCACGATAAGGTGGAGCCACCAACGAGGGGGAGAACAAATATATATGAGTCAAATAACTTAAAGGAAACTATCAACAAAGAAATGACACAAAAATAAAGAAGAACAACTTTAAAAATGAATCACAAAATACACAATAGAAAGCTTATCAACAACATAAAAAATTAATCAAAATCATCTAATAATATCAAAAGTACATAAAGGAAATGCCATATTCATATACATGGAAACAAATAACAATAAAAATGTTGAAGAATTACACAGCAAAATAACTTCACGAAACTACCACACGACATCACCAACAAACAACAAAAACTCATCAGAAGCAGCATTACCACATATATAATGCCACAAAATGGAGATACACTTATATGAATCCCAGTGCACCATACATATGGTATATGGTGCAATAAAACTGCATAAAATCAATAAACCAATCTGACCTATAGTCAACTGGAAAAATAGCCCTGGCTACAAACTAGCAATTTACACAAGAAAGATAGTAAAGGATATAATACAACTACCAAATGTCTTCAACATACAAAACTCCATTAACCTCATTCACTACCTTAAAAAAAATTCACATAAATAAAAAGATAAGATTATGTTCTTTTGACATCACAAACATGTAAACAGACATCCTCATATGAGACTTACCGACATAATCAGAAAACATCCTAGGCAACAACAAGCCAGAAAAACAAAAACAAGAACTAATGACATCAATAAACAGAATTATGAAAGAAAACTACCTACATTTCAACAACCAATACTATAAGCAAAATGACAGATTAGCAATGAGAGCCCCACATCAGCAATCTTAGTGGAAATAATTATCCAACACTTTGAACATACCAGCATCATCAATATACTAAAAAAAAAAAAAATCACATCACTGATTATTTCACATATGTCGAAGATTTACTAATCATATACAATAAAGACACTACCAATATCATCACCGATTACACACATACATACATACATACATACATATCCTTTATTTTCCATAAATATCCACACAGGTAACAGACCCAGGATGTGGAAATAGTCATATCAGATACATACACATAAGTCACATAATGAAGATCACCCACATCAATCAATTAACATATACAATAATATGAGGTTAAAAGATAATATCTTGATTAACAGACATAATTTAAAAGTAACTGCAATATAACTTGAATTAATATAACTTTTCACATCTCCTATAATAACTATATTAAAATACGGCATTAAAACATTCAAATTTATGTACATTTGTAATTAAAATACTCATTTAATGCATAAAAAGAGTTAGCATGTAAAAATCTTTTTAGGGAACATTCAAAGGATTTCTGGTTATTGGATAATTGTTTGAGCTCTTTAGGCAGATGACTGTAGATTTTTATACCTGAATAATATGCACCCTTCTGAACTTTAGTAAGTGAAGTACTCGGTGGAAATAGGTTAACATTCTGTCTGGTACCAATATTATGTACCTCCGTATTTCTTGTAAACAAATGTATGTTATTTATAGTATGTTGCGTCAAGGAATATATGTATTGAGAACACAAAGGCAGAATTTTCATTTCCTTGAAAGGGTCTCTACATGAATCTCTTTTCTTTAATCCCTTAATCACTGAAACTTATTGTAAAGAGACTCCTGACTTAAAAATTCCAAACCTCATGACTAAATGTTTATATAAGGTAATGGGGGACAAGTTACAGTGCTCAATTTATAATTTACACAATATGATAAAATCTACAATCTGATAATTTCAAGCAAAAAAAACGATGTCTGGTCAGAAATGAAACAATTACTGAAAATAATATAAAAAGCTATTACAAATTACTTGGGTGATAAAAAAATTCAGTGTCTTCTTGAAACAGTTACAGATACAAACATGAAACAGCCTGGAAACAGCAAGGACATTTATAGGTTCTTGCTGGCAACACTGATTGTAACGTATCAGCTGCAAGTGGTGTTCTGATTACTATCAAACAAAAACAGTGTCAAATGTGAAAAAGACTTGGATAGGACAGGCAGGACCAGTTCCTCAGCCCCCTAAATCACCATACCTACTCCATGTGACTTCTACCTGTGGAGATACGTGAAAGACCAGGTATACCAACTTCTCAAGCCACAGTCCCTTCAACAGCAAATTTCACAGGTCATAGCGAACATCTACAAATAACAGTAGTGGTGTACACAGGAAGAATTCAAGTATTCCATTGATATTTGTAGAGTAACTAATAGAGCATACAAAGAACATCTCTAGATAAAGCTTATGTGTTTCAGTACTGTTTTAAAGTTGTTTCATGGTTGCATCTGTATTGAAAATATGTGAATTTCTTACCACCAAAACCATTTATAACAGCCCTTTATAGCAGCTGATGTATCATTTCAATTACATAGAAGTGACATCATACCTAATTTCATGTAAATCTATCAACTGATTCAAAAGTTATTAGAGGGCACAGACACATGACCATGATACCACAGGCCTACCACTACTTACACAATAAGAACATACAGCTAAAAACTGAAATATTGCAAAATTCATATTTAGAGGTTAAGGAAAAAACTGTATTTTGAAACCTTTAAAACAGTTTATTTATTGAAGTCTCTTACAATATTGGTTCCTGATTTAATTCATATACCATACTTAATGTACATATTTTCAGATACTGAGTTCTGACCTTTCTAAGACAAAGTGTTTAGCTGCAACTTACAGTTGTTTCCACTTCTCTGAATGCTCTTGCAGTGTTGTTATGTCAAGAGAATTTTTGGCGGCCTTTTCTTCACTTAGAATTTGATTTCTAGTAATAACTGCATCCAGTTTCTGCATGAGGTCTCCATTCTTTGTCTCCAGTTTATGTACTTCTTCCTTTAATTTGTTCTTTTCCATTTCTAAATAATTCTATGAAAGTCAACAATTAACATATTTTAGTTCCAGGCAACAAGGTTATAAATTACAGCACAATAATGATCAAATCCAAAATAGCATCACAGATATCTGTAAATATAGCAATTCTGCACTTGCTTATTTACTTAAAAATTTCATTTAAAATCTTCAGTAGTTTTGTATAGTAATGAAATGTGACCTCTTACTTCAAGGAAATAAAATGAATTATGCGTACCTGAGAAGTTTTCAGGGAAGAAATTATACTCGAGAGAGATGAAGTAATTTTGGATTGGGCAAAATTACACAACATGGGGTTTCATGATTTATACAGGAAAATGAAATCAAAGCTATAATGGACTGGGCATGATGTAAGGATAATGGCAACTAGCAATGCATACAGAATATCAGGAGCGAAAACTCTTTATAAAAACTGCCACTCAGAAGACCAGGAAGGTGATAAGAGAATAACAATAAAATGAATCTCGTGGAAGCAGGTTGTGAGGATGTCAGGTGGATGGAACTGGCTTGGGATCATATCCAATGATGGGTTTACATACCAATGGTGTTGAATCTACAAGTTCTTCTACCAGAGTGTTAGTTTTTACATTTATTTTAATTACTGAAACCCATCTAAGCCTTCACAGAATACAAAAAAAAAACTCTGATACAGTTAAGAGACACAAATTTACTGAAATTCTTATAGAAGATAATGTACCTGATCAACTCATTGTCAATATATGAAACATACAAACATGTCATACTATCAGCAAGAATTAAGCCAGAAATCTCTGAATGCAAAGAAGTTAACTGAGGTGTCAGACAAGGTACAGTTCTTAATCATATTGTAACAGATTTAATCAAAACTCTGCCAGACAACAGAGCAGTTAACGCTTCCAAATACGCAACAGTATAGGGGAAACTGTTTTCTATGAGGTCTGTGCCAAGCAACAGTACGACAACAGGGTTATGCAATCTGCTTCTAGGCAACGTCTCAGTAAACACATTTCCGCATACTGGAATGTGCTACGCAATGCGGCGATTGTCATCAACAATAGAACTGTGTTTTCTATGCAGTCCGTACTGCGGCTTTATGACAAGAGCTGTGAGCTGTAGGTTCAGAGTGAATTGGAACTAGTAGCACTGGAGAATATAAAGACGAGAATGGATCGTGTCCTTAGTGAATTATGAAGATTAGTTCAGTACAGATTAGGACAGAGGAGCATAAAGTGATTGAAGAATAGAAGACTTCATAGTGAAATGAAATGATAATTTCTGTGTCAAGATCTGCTGTTAGGAGACGACTAGTGAAGACGGAGAATCCTAGCGTGTGTGAAATGGTGAACTGGAAAGTATGTAAATCAGTGATCGCACTGTATTTAAGTGTGATTAAGACAACTTGTAACCAAGGTGCTAATAAATCCAATCACCTGAACTAGAACTTGTTATTTTCATCACACGTACCACCCTACATGTGGCAATATATATTGTTGCAGATCTGAGCTCAGATGGGATCACAGTCTGTGACCTGTGTGTGCCTCTTGTAATGTCTTAATCATTTTGGAAACCACTCATCAGACAATGAAGGCCACAGTTGGCCCCAAATTCACTAGTTACTTCATGTCTATAAAACAGTTATCAAGTTCTCATGAGGATATTCCAACCTCTTCCGCAATTTCTTGGACAGTCAGTCGATGATTTCCATGGATAATGTTTTTCACCTGGACAATCAGAGGTTCAGATTTTGAAGACAAAGGTTAGCAAAGGTTAGGTCATCATCCGTTGAAGTTCTTCTATTTTTAGAACGTCTGAACCATTTGTAAGTAATTGTTCAACTCAATGCATGATGGCCATAGACTTCACACAACATATTGTGTTTTTCTGCAGCTGTTTTCCCTACTTTGAAACAGAATTTAACACAAATTCTTTGCTACTTTACCTACTCCATACTACATGTGAAAAAGAACATACTTGATCACAAAACTGGTTATAAAAACTAAATGGAACATATGATCTACTTGGAACAAAATGGATTGAATAACTAACAGTCAAGTTATATGACCATTCTGGGTCTGGTCAAGTGGGATTTCTGGTGGACAAAGGAACGCTGGGGCAGGTTTTCTCTGAGTACTTCGGTTTCCCCTGCCAACCTCCATTCCATCAAATTCTCCATCATCATAATCACCTGGGGCAGGTACAATCGGCCAATCAGTGGCTGCCGTGCCTAGTGGACCCAGCTGGACTCCACCCCCCACTAAGGGAATTATATGGCCACTCACTAACATGGCCAAGCACTGCAGCTCCATTACATAATTTCGGGAATTTTTTAGGGTTAATCAACCCAATAATATCAAATAAGACTACAAACTGTGGGATTCTTCTTCCTACACCAAATAAAACAAACCAGAGTAAGAATTACTTTTAATTTTGGTTTTTATTTGTTCTTACTTCATATAAAGCTTAAATTGACCTTCATGAAGTGTCTCAATCTCCTTTTAAAACATGAACATATAATACAGCATACATACCATAACGCTCTCCAATTCCTGATGCTTCTGTTCAGGCGCTTCCTCACCAGTAACTCGCATCTTCTTCTCTTCATCCTTTGATGTCAATGATTTATCAAAATTATTATTTCCCAGTTCTTTCAGTCTAATTATTTCAGTTAAATGAGCCTTTTCATCCTCATGCTAGAACAGTAAGAATTTAATAAAATTTACTGGTTACTTCAACAACCACCAACTATTCAATGAAGAATTCCACATGGAGCTAATTACTGGATTTAACTGAATATAATGGATACTTTTCTTCCTCCAAGTATCTCATGAAAAACCAGTTGCACATGTATTCAGATATATTCCATCTATTACATATTTTACTAGAGTCTATAACCAAAAATTCTGTTACTTACTGATATCAATTTACTTTCTTCTATGTTGCAATAATGACAAAAATTAGAACTGCAATTGTTAAGTTTGAATGCAATAATCCTTAAGCTTAAAACCTGTACCCAATAATAAAGAAACTTTAAATCTGAAAATTAGGTGACAGCAGTAATAGCTTTTAGAATTAATCATGTGACATGCACACCCATTTCTAGGCAACTACTTGGTAAACACGTGCTCACAGTAAATATGCCTCAGTAACAGAGAGGCCATTTTCTATGTGGTCCATGGTGCAGTCACTGCTATGCAATGGTGCAGTAAACACGTCTAAAACAATATGGGACAATGGAAGATGTTTTTCGTGGGGTCCGTGCAAAGTGATTATAAAGAAGTGTTTGGCATTATACAGCAGGATAGAACAGTAGTCGAGGAGTGAAGAGTCAAATTTTGGGATGCCAGCCTGCCAGGATATAAGCTTGGGAGCAGAGGAACTGAACTGAATCAAGTTTTCAGAATTGGCAACTGCATAATAAAGGCAAGAAAGGAATTAGGTGGTGTAAAAAAAGACTTCATATGTGATTTGAAGTGACAGTGAGACTGTTATAAATCCATTGCCAGGATACGACTAGTGAAGACTGAGAACCCTAGTGTGTGTAACGGTGAACTGTAAAGTGTGTAGATTAGAGACAGCGCTCTTTTACCTGTATTCCTGAGCTGTGTGAATGTATAAGGTGCAATAAATCCAATCCGCCAATCCAAAAACCGTCTTATACGTCACCCCAACACATGACAATACCATCAAATTCATGTTTCAATTAACACTGTACAACAGCATCAGTTATAGAAATCTTGTAAATTTAAACCCCGACTAGTAAGTTACTGATTGAGAAACTATTCAAGAAATTAAATGCAAGAGATGTATATAATTTTTAATTTAAATTTTCAAGACTTGAGTGATGATTTCATTAAAATCAACTTACCTTGCAACACACTTCTTTAAGGTGCTTCAATTCCTGTTCCAAATTACCCAAACGTAATTTGTACTTGTGTGATTCTTCTAGGGACTTTGTATACATTGTTTCCAAATGGTTTAACTGGTCCTCAAGCAATGCTATTACCTCATCACGACTACGAGTTGCTTCATGTGCCTCTGCCAATTCATACTTGAGCTTCTCAGCTTTCTCCCCCAATTCTGCAGCATTTTCTTCCAACCGTGCTTTCTCTGCTGTTGCCTTCTGAAGGTGTTGCTTCAGCAGATTATGATGCCCCTTGAAAAGAGCATGAACAGAAAATGCAATTTAATAA